TGGCTGAGCCAGGAATTGACCCTGGCTCCGCCAGCAGCCAGGCTGGAGCTGAAACGGCTGGGGAAGAAGGATTAAACCCTCTGTGGCTTTTGCTTTCCTGAGCCTTTGTGAGAGGCCTGATTCTCCAAAGGGCGAGATTATGGGCTGGAAATCAGGAGCGAGACTCTGAACGTGTGGGTTTGATTTGTGACTCAGCCGCTGACCCCAAGCAAGCCACCGCGTCTGTCTGGGTCCTGCGTCCCCTGACCCAGCGGCAGGCGAGAGCTCGGAGGCAGAGACCTGCAAGGTCAGGGTAGCTGACCCCGGGAGCTCAGGGTAGCAAGTCCCCATTTTCTCTGCAAGCAGAACATTAGCAGGCAAATTCTTATTGGTTTTAACTTTGCTCTTTCATCTTCCCAACAGGAGGAACCATTTGTGTTGTCTTTCAGGACTTGTTCTTAACCAACAGGTCAATGCAAACACCATTTCACACTCCCACGGTAGACACTTTCCTTTAGAGCCCCCCCTAGAAAATGCACAGCCTGCCCTGTGCAGACAAGACAGGAGTCAGGGATGGGGGAGTGGCTAGAAAGGGAAGGGAAGGAGGCACTTATTTGTAGCCATGTAATTATTATTTTTAAATAAATAGAGCTTTTGAAAATGTGATTAAGCAAACGAGGGAATAACGTAAAAATCTGAATTGCTAATTAAAAAACCACAACATACTTGTAATGATAGCATGTTGATGGATAAACTAATTCAGTTCTAGCAGTTTTCTTTTAATAATTTTACTGCTCGGTGTAATAAGCACAGCTAAGAAAAAAAAAAATCACCCATTTTAATCAGACCAGACTATCGCGCCTTGGGGTGCATTTCATTCGCCCCCGAGTGCAGAATGCCTGAGGCAATTCTCCTACTTAGCAGGCATTTTCCACAACACACTGTGAAATGATAATGCTAATTATCGTGAAGATAGATTTAAAACCCTCCGTCTAGGGCGCTGTGCATCGAAATCAGGCTGCATTTATCATCAGCATCAAACCTCGCCACTCAGGATCGCTAATGATTTGTGAGCCTCCCCCCAGCCCTTGCGAAAACAGCTCTCGCCCTTACCTGATGGTAAATGGCCTCCCAGTTCTCCCGCAGCACTCTCCAGCTGCTGACGGTGGAGGACTTCTTGTCCAGGTAGACCCTGATGTGCTCCTCCAGCTCTTGGTTGACCTGCTCGAGAGCGCGCACCTTCTCTATGTACTCCACCAAGCAGCCGTTCAGGCTCTCGTAGGAGAGACCCCGGCCCTTCTCCAGCCCCGGGGCCAGGGGCAGGGCAGAGCAGGAGCTGCGCAAGCCCTGCAGGAAGACGCTGGTGATGCCCAGGGCTCTGCGGGATACCCGAGTCCCCAGGCTGCTCACTCCTCCCGGGGGCGCGGTGCCCACGTAGACGCCCGGGGGTCTTCCTCCGCCGCCAACGCTGACCCGGCGGCTGGGCACCCCCGAGCTTGCCCGGCCGCTTCGCTCCTCTGCGGTGCCCGCGCTGGCGGGATCTGCCGAGCCAAGCAGGTTTGGGCTCTGTGTTGTTTCGGCTTTGTCCGACGTCCTTCTGGAACATTAGCGTTGTGCGGCCCCGGCGCGTTTATCACATTGTCCGGGGCTTTCCACGGCGTCAGCAATCCATTTCAAGAGAAATCTCTCTGCTGCTGCTGCTGCAAATATGGCAGATGAAAAGCACAATGGTGTTTACAGGCACAGTACGACAGGAATTCATTACCACGTACAAGTTGAAATACCCACCAGTGTTTTCTACCCTGACAGCCAGATGATGTCCTACCCTTATACCCACATGTATCTATACAAATATTACAAATGCATTAGCCGCTCACATCTGTGCTTACTCCCGACAAAGTCCCTAGCAGCAAGGTGTTACTTAAAATTAGCAAAAACTGAACTTCCGAGGAGCCAGCTGGGCCGTGGGGGCTTTTGGTTGCAGCAGAGCCTGCAACCCTCCCTTGTCCCTCCTGCGGCTGCAGGATTTCTCTGTGCTTTGACTTCACCGCCCGCCCAAGGGGCACCACCTCGACCCCAGCAGCCTTTCACCTCGCACACCTACTCCTCTTTTTTCTGCTTAACATCATAGATTAATTGCACCCGGTCTGTTTAACAAGGGCCTGTTTCACTTTGCCTGACGTGGAGACAAAGCAGCAGTACTCGCCTGGAGGAGCAGAGTCGAACAGTTCCCAAGCCTTATTGCAGGGGGTCGGGGAGTCTTTCCCTGCTCTTCTTTCTATGTCAGCGCTCTTTAGTCACTAGCAAGCAAGTGGGTAATTTGTACGTTTATGAGCAGGAGAGGACAGGATACAGAGGGATACTTACTATGCAGCGTTAGGCGTGCCACTGTAGATGGATGACATGGTTTTTTCTACATGGCTACACATAGGTCAACCGATGCTTCACAGCTCCGATGTTAGGACTGTCCCGGTTCAGGATTAACATGTGAACATCTTTGCAGGCACGTCTGTAACGTGCTGATGTTGGGCACTGACCTAATATGGTGATGGTCTGTATATGGGAGATCAGAGGAGTCTTTGGTAAGAAGGACTAAAATCAGAAATTCCTTTCTAAGGGGTGCGCCTAATCCTGGCGGCTGGGTTTGTGGATGGAGTTTGGCTTGCTTGTTTTTAGGTCGGAGGACTGTGAGATTGATTACAGTCAGGGAGCCATTTCCCATCCGTGTGAAGCCTGGGAATGCTGCAGCATCTCACAGCTTTGTGAACGTTTTCATTTGATTTCTAGACATCCTGAATTTAGATTACCAAGCAAACCAGACGGACTAAATGAGAGGAGTCTTCCAGTATTTCTTACGTAACGTTTTCATCATATTCGCTCTGTGTCCAGTGAAAAAGAAATCTGCCTTGCGAAAGCAGTACCATGTACACAAAACACAAGGTAAAAATACCAGCCTCTTTCCAAAGGAACTGAATTTAGCTCTTCGTCGTGTCATTCTCCCTTTTTACCTGCCTGTTAAAGTACACAGAATCAGAAGATGAAGGCTCTCATCTGATTGCCTTCTCTTGGCAAGACTCTCCGGAAGTTTTTACTTTATAAGTAAAACAGCGTTTTCTAGGAGGCTGTTTAGTATTTCATTGTAAGGGCTACAGATATCATATTGCATAACTTTTATCTCCTGTGAAAAGATGTATTCCCAAAGTGCCCATCCATGTCCACATACAGCCACATCTTAATGGCTACCCTAGTCACCTCTTAGGGAAGTAGTGCGGTACGCTTTGATTCAGAGCAGCAATTCAAAAATCTAAATGATCCACCATAATGTTACAATTTTTTAGTTTCAGGAAGCCTGTGGCCTCGATTCAGATTGGTGCCTAAGTGCGGAAGAAGTGCATGTGTGGGAGAGGGCAAGAGATAGGTGAAGACACCTTTGTGGCCCCCCCCGGCCCCAGGGTGACAATGCCTCCATCAGATTACAGCCAGCAGTTAGTAAAGTTTTCAGGTTACTCTGACTACCCACAGCCACCAGGTCGTTTCTGCAGGTGGGAACAGCTGGACCAGATGTGCCACGCTCATAATTCCCTGTTCTGTTATCAGACAAGGCATATGTTTTATGATGCTACGCTAACCCTGCCTTGCTTCAGCCTCCCTTTTTTGCAAACAGCCAACAAACCTGAGCAGCCAGTGGCCCAAAGCAGCCAGCTGGAGCACGGGGGTGAATCCCCAGCTGTCTCATCACCTGCTCCTCACCAAGGCTGAGACCTCAAAGGGCAAAGCTGTTTCAGCTGGTGAACAACACGGAACAGGCAATCTCAGAAGAAAAACTGAACTTTGGTCCCACAATAACTGGTCTGGGTTACTCATAGAGAGAACATCAGTTTAGATAAAGTCACTCCATGTTCCATGTTATTCTCTAGTTGTAAGAGCCTATTTTGAATCCATCATTTCAGCTTCATTCACCCCTACTGTTCCCATAATACCATTCCAGCATGTAATCTAGCACTTCACTATGTAGCACTGAAACACCATTCTGCTCTGAAGCACTGTCTTTTCATTCCTGAGGGAAGAAGGATAGTCTTAGAATAAGAGAGGGAGCGTAAGGAGTCTGGATTCAAAGGCACTAGCAGTCTAAGCATGAAAGAAAAAACAGAGGGGAGAGGGAGAAATGATCAAAGCCCCGGAGTTCAGCTGGTGGAAGTTCCGAATCACCAGATTTCAAGTTCCTCTGATAAATTGAAGATTTCTGTTCCTTTGAAAGAGGACACTCTATGTCCCTTCTGCTGAGGCTGTTTACTCTGCAGGAAATAATTCAAGACTCACTGGGCTGAAGCAGAGCAGCTGTGAGTCCGAAGCACAATGGTTAGGACCTTCACGCAGGAAAAAAGGAGGCCATTCTGGCCCTTGCTCCTGTGAGACACTGCTGGAGCAGGAACTGGAACCTGGGACTTTGGTTTAAGTCCTAGCAAGCTAATACCTAAAAAAGTCATGAGTAGCATTACCACCTGGACAGGTTTGCCCGTGTCTCGTGTTGTCCTGGATCCCATGGATGCACTAGGTTTGTTGGGAGCACAGCAAACACCTCACTGCCTCTGTCGCCTGCCCCCTGCCCTCTCCCCAGGAAGTTTGTGGATCCCAATTGGGCTTAACTGGGAGGGAGACGTGGGAAGGCTCATCCCAGTCAGTGCTCAGGCAGTGCTGGAGTCACGCAGAGGATACGCACCTGGCACAAGAGCCGTAGGCACTGCTACAGGCAAACGAGCCTGTCTGGTCTGGTTTGTATTCTAGCTTGGCAGTCTAAAGTAAAGAAGTAACCTAGGTAAAGGACAGTCACTGAGTAGGAAAGCTCATGGCCAGGCTAAGGAAGTCATGTATCTTCAGACTGCTCCTAAGCTACTGCAGGATGCTGTACCAAACACACACTGCCTGCATCGAAACCAACCTCTGCGAATATTCTTACAGATCAAGTATATTTAGCAGCAGACTGTAAATGACAGTGAAGAAAACAGCCCATTTGACAGATGTTTTGCTTAGAAATACCTTTATTTTATAAAGCCACAGTTTGTTCTGTAAAGTTTTACCACACTTATAAAAAAGAGGCTGACAATTCTCAGGGAGGAAAAAAAGCTGAAAACATTTCTTGTAATTCAGGGTTACACAAAGGTTATATTTATAATATATATATTTATTTATAATTTGGAGACAGTCGAGATGAAACTGCAATACAAGGGCAGCTATGGGGTCATATTTCAGACACTTGCTCATGTCCTACAAATAGAGTTTCTTGACAGAAGGGGTTTACGAGGACCATACCGCTGTCTCGGTAATCACCGTTGGCTGGAGAGCGTGGCTCAGAGAGGTGGTCCTAGGAGAAAGACAAAAAACCAGCATGAGCACTACCCATCCCATCACCCTCTGTGAGCACACACGGCAGCCCACTGCTGTGCAAATGCTTGTGAAAAGTGGACTACTATTTTTATCACTTGGACATTTGGTCCCAACCCTCAGAAACTGCCTGAATTTTTGGGTGCCCCAGTTCAGGAGCTTTTCAGGAACTCTGGCAAGTTAGCCGAAGGCAATCGGAGCTGTGAGTGAAGAGTTCCTCTGATAATCAGGCTGATTTTTTTCTCAAACTGGGAACCCCAAGGTCCCACGTACGAACCTTTAGGTGCCTTAGTAGAATTTGAGCTGCCACATTTCTTTTTTTTTTTCCCCACTTTTATGATATGTTGCAACAATTTGCTGCCAGCCAGGTTTGACTCCTCCAGGTTGCATTTTCAGCTTCTTTTTAAGGGCAGAAAGCCAAATATATGGTTCCAAGCTAACTGAGAAGTGTCCCAGTTCAGTAATGTTCTGATCAGTTTTAAATGACTCGTGACAGTTTTTGGAGATTATCCCACATACGGACAGTGTAATAATTTGAAAGCTATTTCTTGGTAAGCCTAGACCTAAATCTTACTTTAGCCTGAGCTAAATGATTGCCAGTAAAGTGGAATTAATGAAGTGATTGTGAGTGGTAGTCTAGTCACTTCTCAAAGGCTCCTTTCTGAACATAAATGTTTGTAATTTAACCAGAGATGAGTTGGTCGGCTAGCTGATCTCTTGAAAAAACTCTTTACCTTAAGCCCCAAATGTCCACTGTTTCTAGTTTCTAAATACCTTTGACCTAAGCCAAACTATTCTTCTCTGTCTTTGAGGCCAGATAATACAATATTTCTATCATTAGGATCACCTGCCCATATATGAATTATCCCACCGAACCAGTCAGATCCCTTGAGTAAAGGCTGACCAGTGGACACCAGTACTATATATAGGCTGATGTTTTGATTTTTTTATGTACTGGGAACACTTACCCCCTAAACTATTATTTGAGAATCTACAGGCAGCTCCTGAGACCTGAGTGCACAAACTTTCTTTACATTATTAACTGCTACTACCCCCGCTATATAATGCAACGTGAGGCATGCACGCTGGAGAGGTTAGAAGGACCGACTGTCAGTAATGGGCTGGCCCAAAGAGTGCTCCTACTCGTTCGTGGCAGGGCTAGACACTGGCTACAGGGCTAGACACTGGCTACAGGCTCAAATGAAGAGAAACCGGGGAAAAAATTCACCTAGTGGTAGTGACTGCTGAAGTCAGCCCAGGACTGCAAAGCCTGGGAATAGGAGGACAGCCAGTTTTTGGTGACATATTTATTGCATCTCATGATACACTTGTGTGAGTGGCTCCTTCTTGAAAAGGTGTTTCCCTGAATATGCATAGGGCTTCCAAGGCTTTATTAATACTTTTTCCTCTCTCTTTCTCCCAGCATTACTTCAGTTACATTTTTCAGACACTCATTATGCAAGTGAGGTACCTCTGAAGTCTCCAGGGACTGGATCTCTCTCGGTAACTCTACAGCATGCCTGTTGAAGTAGTCCATGGTAATAGCATTATTCCAATAGCTCAAATTGTTTTCTGGGTTAGACGTCTTTTTCTTCCTTCTCATGCAGCAGACTGTCAGCAGAACTGCTGTCAATAGAAACACGTCAAGAAATGGGTTATTTCCTTTCAATAAGGACTCATCAGTAACATGGATTTGTTTTTTAAGTTACTTAAGGAGAGCACTGGCGACTTTCATTCATATAGTTAACTCTCGGTTAGCATTTAACTCTCAGTCAACAAAACTGCACAACCAAGTCACAATCTGGGCCAAGCAGATGAGGCTTTGGGCTTGGCACGATATGCTGTTCTTATTTTCTTTTTGATGTAAGTTCATAATCTTCAAGATGCAGCTGCCCTGCTCATGAAAAAGCTTTGGTGTTATAACTGGATGGTATTTTAATCCCTAAGCAGGGATTCATAGACCCTCTAGGACAGAGCACACTTCACAAAGATGCAAAGGATGCCACTACGCAAATCTTTTCTGCTTCTAGTGTGTTCAGACGCTGCAGCAATGAGCACGTTAGCAAATGGGCAGTGAGAGATACCCGTCCTAGTCTCAAATATTAAATTTATAAATACATTCAGTTGTATGTCTTCCGTACCAAAGGCTTCTGCTCTAAACTGCTGCTGATTCCTGTCTCTCTCGCCTCACATACCTAGCTTGGCTTTTGGCTATTTTGTGGCCGTGCTCCAAGCCATCAGAGTCTGGCTACGGGGATAGATGGGCTCCTCAGCAGGGGGGACCTGTGGTGGCACCAGGGAGCCTCTCTGGCACCTCGCTTGTGTAACTTAACGTTTTCCAGGGTAGCGTTACTGGTCGTTGGAAAACAACCTCCCCCAAGTCAGCCCAGAATTGAGATTTTTTTTTTTCTGTCTACATCATCTATACCAGAATATGGGGTCTACTGATAAGACAGCTGGAGGGTAATCTGGTCCCTGCGCTTACCCGGGCATTGCTCCTGCCTTTTTTTCACACCTGTGGAGCACATTGTTGCTTTTGACGGCTGAAATACTCCAGCTTAAAGTAGTGTAGTTAGGCAAAACTATGTGACCGGAAAGTGAAACTTGTTGATTTAACTGTCTGTTTGGTCTGAAGGCCGCAGATACCCACCGACTGCAGTGATGCCAGAATAATGCTTCCACAGCAGGCTGGCTGCACACAGAGAGGGGTCAGTGTATTTTCTGGAATCGCTTTGAGTTCAGCCATCTCTGTTCCAGCTGAGATTTGTAATCTTGGCAATTTTACAGAAGCTAGCCAAACCCACTGGAACAAACATACTGCTCCCACTGGTCCTTGCTCAGGCAGAATTTGAGGCACGTACAAGGGTTTATTCAGTGGAGTAATGCATGAGCTTTGTGCGCTTATTTTATACCTGTGGAATTAATTGAACATTTGTGCTTGTAATCTCCCTGATTTATACTGACCGACAGGTAGCTGGATAGGCACTTGCTTTGATTTGCACCCATGAAATGGGGAATGCCCTCCTGTAAATTCACTCTGTAATTTCTAAACCGCTCATGATAGGAAAGAAGAGAGAAGATATTCATGAAGCAGAAAAATATATTATTTTCTCAGCTACAGCCAAAATTATTTATTAGAATTATAGCCTAGAGGGAAAAAAAGACGGCAGAGAGGTCAAAGCAGCTCTGAATGTTTTGACAAACACTGCAACTACCCATATGCCGTGGATCTAATTTCACATCCCATCTATTCACATAAGATGTTGACACAAAAGTGGAGGCTAGAGCTCTACTTGAAATTAAAAAAAAAAAGTACTAAGAGAAATTGTTAATGGGTTTGAGTTCAGGGGTTTTGCATCTCATTCAAAGGAAAAGGTGAGTTCATACCACAAATCTTATGAAACGAATGGAAAAAGCTCCTGCGCTGTTCCCACACATGTCAAAAAAGTAGGCCATTATCAAACTTACTATTACCCAGTCTTAGACTCATCTTGCTTCAGTCTTTCCATCAGCATTGATGGTCTGACGGCCGAGAGCGCAGCTCACGCCGGAGAGCACTCACGCAGGCAGCCCCATCGCAGTCAGCAGAGCGCTCTGCCCGGGGAAACGCTGAACCCCCCGAACGGGCTGCCTCGCTGCCCCTTACTTTGCCTGGGCCCGGGAGGCTGGTTTCCACCTGATGTCGCCAACCTGGCCGGCAGGCATGTTAAGATTAGAAAGCGAAGCAGGACATACGCTTAGTCCTCCCCATCGTCGGCTGTGTTAAGGGAGCAGGGGTAGGGCCAGGAGCCCTCCAAGCTTTGTGGTACGCCAGCAGCAAGCGCTCTCTAAGGCACAGCGCGTTTCTGACGTAGCCTGAGGATACAGGAGCCCCAGTAAAGCTGGCTCTATGTCTGTGCAAATATTTTGAAATCCTCAGGTTTTACAGCTTAGACAACATTGCGGCTGCTGTCAGTGACGTATTGGATTTGGGTTTGGGGAGCTGGAAAGCTTGTGACGTTAAGCAGAGAGAGGACTGGGCCCTGCCACGTGCAGCTCTGTTTGCTGCGCAGCAGTAATGCTCTCTCCATTAATTATGCTCTTGGCCTGCAAAGTTAGTGCACAAATGAGCAAACGGATGGAAGACTGTGGAGGACGAAGTCCTGAGCGTCCTCAAAAATCAAGTGCAACACAATTTAGCACAAGGCTGTCTTCATAAGATGCCTCGTTTCAAAGCAGAGGAGACCTCATTTAAGAGGGAGAGGGGAGACAGCAGGGCTGGAAGGAGGGCATTCCCTCTCAGTCCCGTATTAGACGACTGAGAAGACGTTATTGGCATAATTTAGTGAAATCAATGTAGCCAAGCAGAAGACCGCTCACTCACAGAACAATCCTAGGAAGAGGGTACGGATCTATGTAGATCCTTAGACAGTCGTTCACTCTCATCATGAGGATTACAAGCAGTTGCAATGGTCACCTAGGACGTATTCAGTGGATGAGACACACAGAGGGCAGAGATGGTTTGGAAGGGTTTTGAAATAGCAATAACTACAAAAGAGACGAACAGAGAAATGCAACCAGCAATTCCTCTCTTCTCTTTCCCATTGTATTATGTGCTGGCCTTCTAAGGAGGAGGAAGTGCTGTTGTTTAATGCTGCAGGATCACATTTGTTTCAGAGATGGACAGCCCTTTGGACGGAACAAGGACTAAGTCTAGTCCTTCAAACGTTCACCTAGATCCTTCAAGAGAGTGGGGAAACCTAAACTGACTTTTCCCTTCTGCTGTTCCATTTTAAAGCTAACATTGAGTGCCAAGAGAAGGACATTTCAGTGATGTCCCTGGGTCAGCTGGAAGCTCCCCACACAAGGACTACCAGACATGTTAGGAAATACTGCATGAGTCTTTGCAATTTTGTAGACATCAGATGTTCAGAGAGTTCAGAAGCATTTCTAGTACTTATTCATTGACCTGCTACTACTCTGGAGGAAGAAATTTCAACGTACAAATGTAGGGGCTAAGAACTGCTGATGAATTCCAGTTCTGGCACTAGCTTCTTTCTGGCCCTGCGACAAATTACATCAGCACTATCTGTTCCCCCATCTATTAAACAAGACATAATACACCCCATAAACAGGAGAAATGGGAGTCTCTTAGACTCACAGATTTCTAGGCTGCCGGAAACATGCTGATCATCTGCTCTCACCTGCACAACAGTTGTGCAACCAGAGAGTTTCACCTGGTAATTTTGGTCCCTGTCCATAAGTTCTAGCTAAAGTATAGGAAAACAGACAACTTGGTTTAAGGACTTGGAGTGACTAGATTTCCATCCCGTTCCCAAGAAGGTTGTTTCAATACTTAATTTCCATCACAGGGACATGTTTACATCGCCCTTCTAGTCTGAATCCAGCCTCAACTGCCGCTTCCTCAATCTCTTTTTGTTATTTTTGTTTTATTAAGCCCTCCCTTATGCTATCAGAAATCTGTCCCATATAAGTGGGCTTGAGCCTCTTCTTGGACTACATAACTACACAAATGGATTTCAGTTGGATTTTTGAACTCTTAGATCATTCCCATGGCTCTTCTCTGAATCCTTTCTAATTTTCCAATCTTTTTAAAAATACAAATCACCAGGATTATACACCATATTCAATATTACTTTGATAATTGTGGAGAAATGAGATAAAAATCAACTCCCTACACTTATTTGATAGTCTTCTGTCTATTCTTTCAAACTTACTTAAATATTTTACTACTCTTATATTACTATATACCCCCCCAACTCCCACATAAAACATGATGTTAGCAAACTTGATTGATTATTATAAGCACTTAAAAGTCAGGAAATATTAATCTTAGAATGGTTGAGGTTGGAAGGGACCTCTGGAGATCACGTAGTCCAACCCCCACCCCCTGCTCAAGCAGGGTCATCTAGAGCATGTTACCCAGGATCGTGTGCAGATGGCTTCTGAATATCTCCAAGGATGGAGACTCTACAACCTCTCTGGGCAATCTGTTCCAGTGCTCTGTCACCCTCACAGTGAAGAAGTTTTTCCTCATGTTCAGACGGAACTTCCTGTGTTTCAGTTTGTGCCCGTTGCCTCTCGTCCTGTCACTGGGCACCACTGAGACCAGTCTGGCCCCATTCTCTTGACACCCTCCTTTCAGATACTTACACACATTGATAAGATCCCCCCTCAGTCTTCTCTTCTCTAGGCTGAACAGGCCCAGCTCTCTCAGCCTTTCTGCATGAGTTGCTCAGTCCTTTCATCATCTAAGTAGCCCTTTGCTGGACTTGCTCCAGTAGCTCCATGTCTCTTGCACTGGGGAGCCCAGAACTGGACACAGTTAAGGCTGAAGGACTCTAAGGAAATCAAAATTTCTCCCTGTGCTTATATAAACTTATATAATATAAACTAAGTTTCTACAGAAACCTTACCTCAATGAGTAAAATAGTATTTTATCCATACTTCTTTCCATCTTCCTCATATAGTTTGGTTGTTAAACATCACTGTGAGACTGAAGAATATGTTGTGGCAAACAAGCCTCACTCTGTCTGTTACCTGAGCTGTCTATATATGTAAAGTCTTCGCTCTATTATTGGTACCACAGTAGATTTTGTTATTGACCACAGCTGCTTGCACCTGGAGACGGCAACCTCCTCTCAAGCTTGGTCTGAGCTCACACTTGGAGATTGGATTCAGGGCTTGGGATCACTCCCAGGCCAGGAAACAAACATTCCCAGGTTTTTTGATTGGGAAAGTGGGTGAGATAATTTTGGAAAGTGTCCCAGTCTGTGAAATATGAGCTAGGTGGGGTTAGGTCCAAGGCAATTCTTTATTTATTCTTTGAGTTCTGCTGACATTTCCATTTGGAGACTCGGCCTCCCTCTCGCATTGTCTAATGTCAGCAGAACTGACTAAATGAATTGACTTCTGGGCCTCTGATTTGCAATGTTCTATTCTTCACCTTTTTACCATGTAATTTGATAATTAAGAACTGTACGTACTGGCAACCCAAGGATCGAACTTATGAGTTTTAAAATGAGTTCATAGTGTGGCTGTTCTGCATTGCAGCAGCGTGTGTGAGAGAGGCACACACATATACACAGGCACACAAAATGTTCAAGGCTGCCTGAAGGACATCACAAAAACAACTGGAACCATGACATGCAGAAAATACTGATATCAGTGTTATATACTACTTTGTTTTTCTAGGAATGTAATGATATAGAATTCTTAACTTTTGTAGCCCTCAAATGGAGTAAGCAGCATTACCTCCAGTATTTATACCATGAAATGGAGGCAAAAAAAATGTGAAATCATTTTCCCAAATTCACATAGCAGATGTGGCGGGTGCATTCCTACTCAAACATCTAAGCATGACTTTTCTGGCTAGAACTTTAAGGGATTTCGGTGGGACTCGGAAACCTACGTACCCTCAAAAAAGATATACTGTAGGGACTGGGAAGCCAAATCCCATCTCTTATTTCAGCAGAGCAATTCCTAAGGCCCAGCTCTTCAGGCCAGTGCTATAGGTGCCAAGCTGTGTCACCTAGGGCATCCGTGGATTGGGACTAGCTTTTGGCGAGAGCCTGAGTGCAGAAGCAGAGTGGCCTAAATGCCAGGGCAAAGCAAGGCCGAACAAACCCTCTGTGGCTTCCTACTTTTAGCGGGGTGCAAACCCCCAGGCCGTGGCAAGGCCAGTGAGGAGCCCCTGCAGGGACTTTCCTGCATGAGGAGGAGCTCTGCGTCCCAGGCGGCTTTTCCAGTGGGGATACGACGCCAAGGGCTGTGGAGATGACTCTCCCCTACTACGGAAATTAAAATGCCTGGAGGCTCTGGAAACAGCAGAGGCGTCTGCAAGCTGGCTTGGGGGCACACTCCTCATTAGCAGGAGGAGGGAGCCACGTTAATGATACTCCTCAATCTCTGCAGCCATGCGAAGGCTCCAGTTTCATCTCCATGCCAACCTTCCCTACCTCTCATTTGTAACTTCCCTGCCCCAGGGCTGCCCGGGCCTCCCTCTCCCCTTGGTGCGGGGGGCTTAGCCCTTCTCTCAGGATGATGTCTCAGCGGACGTCTCCATGGGTCTGGCCAGCTTCCCCTAGTGCGCCAGCCCACGGCTCGGGGCAGCATAGCAGAGGGTCCTGGCCCCCGGGGGCAGCAATCACCTCTCATCATAGAAGTCCTCAGTGACTTTCTCCATGGCTTGTTCCCTCCGAAGGCTCCAGAGATACTGAACAGCGCTGAGGCTGGCTTGTCTAGGCACCGTCCTGCCTCCCAGCGCAGGAGCTGGACAGCCTCTTCATCAGTCTGTGTGCAAAGCGCTCCATGAAACACACAATCACCCCTTGAAGGCACCCTTAGAAAATCTCAGTGGCTGTATTCCTCATCTGTCTCTTTAACACCAGCCTCTCTAGCCTCTCCTCCACTAAAATCAGAAGGGCTACGCGGCTGCTGGGCCTTGCGTCCTCCCCTGCCTGTGTCCGGAAGGTGGCGGCAATCCCCTTCGCGCACCGGCCAGGAGCGGGCGGCAGCCCTGACGCTTGCGGAAAACCTGACTTTCCG